GATTGGCCATAAATCAGGCAGACCTTTCTGTACCATAGCCCGGTGACCCATAAATGTCACCAAGAATATCTAATCCATAAATTGTTTTTGCAGTTCGTGCAATAAAAAGACATTCAATCAACTACACCCAATCGAAGTAGCAAAGTGTTGGTTTGTGTTGCACCCAATTGTCTCTTTTACTGCCTGTCTCGGGACTGCAATGGATAAATGGTTGGAGCATGGATCAGATCTAGCTGTGAAGTGGGAAGTTCAATCGAAACTCTCTAAGACAGCCAGCCATTGTCGAGGAGAAATTGGCGGTCTTAGACAGGTGACTGTCTTACACAGTCACAATATAATAATATAAAAATATACAAGGGAGGAAACGAGAAGTGGCCGTTTGTGCAGGTGATTGTTTTATACATGTGGTCGTTAGAGCAGGTTCGACTGCATTCCAAACTGTTCAACAAAGGCGACGATTCAGATGAAGCAGTATCAGATACAATCGATTTGTATCTTTCTGAAGAACATAAAGCCAAATTGAAAAATGTAAGGAAATGGTTTCTATATCTCTTGAGTGCTACCGGGTTACTCTGTCCAAGTGAGGCAGACGAAACAGATGAGAAGTTAATTTGAAACACCGTATTTCTTTCTTTTTATCATTCTTTCTTTTTATCTTTCTTTCTTTTATATTGTCTGTCTCTCTGTATCTCTGTCTGTTTTAATATACGTCTATCTTTTCCTTTTCTCTCTTTCCATCTTTTTCTCCCGCTCTTTTCTATATATTTAAACAGGAGGTTGTAGGAGCGGTTTTAACTGTGTTGTGTTGTGTTGTGTGTGGGTATGTGTGTATGTGTGTATTTCTGTGTGTGTGTGTGTGTGTGTGTGTGTGTGTGTGTGTGTGTGTGTGTGTGTGTGTGTGTGTGTACCTTTGTGTGTGAGTGTCAGTCCGTGTGTATGTTTGTGTGTGTGAGTGTTTGTATGTATGTGTATAATATATCATATTTATATAATATAATATAGCCATATATATAGTCATTCTGGCAGACTGTGCAAAGTGTATCAATGAGGTTTACCACGATCACACGAAAACTGGTGATGCGGAAATTGCATTTTCAAGAAAAGCTAAGACTCTTGCATTCTTCTTTATTCCAGTTTGTCAATGTCGACTGAGGTTAATCATCTGATCTTTTCTATCTATGAAACTTAAAACAATGGATGATAGGGTATTTGAATACCAAGGCTCCACGATCGGGAATGCATTGCCCAAAAGTTCAAATCTTTAATGTATTCAAATATCAGCTTAAGTCATTTCTGTTAAATTAATACGAACATAATTATTTGCAGATGCTTTCTTTTGGTCAGAACACAGAGTGCCGAGTATACAGGATGATTAAAAAGGAATACGCCAAAATCATCACGCGATATTTCAACAAACCAAAAAGAATAGAAACTTCAAGCGTGGGCTCGTATGTTGTTCATACCTTCAAGCTTTTATTTCATGTTTTGCAGGCGCTCAATGTGACCACCATCTGCAGCACGGACAACATCAAGCCGATATGAGAATTCCTCCTAAACGCGCCTCAGGATGCCTCGGTCTACCGTGTTGATTGTAGCTGTTATTTGATCTTTCATGTCATCGATATTTGCAAGAAGTGGTAGAACGTAAACCTTTGTCTTTAACATATCTCCACAAAAAGTGGTAATTCACTTCAAGCACGCAAATCTACATGACTTCATTTTTCAACAAGATGGAGCACCGCCCCCATTGGCACCTAGGGGGTCCAGCTTTTCTGAATGAAAACGTTCCTCAGCGGTTGACTGGTTGGACAGGTGCCAAATACCTCGATTTCTGCGCATGGCCTGCCAGATTCCCGGCCCTCACTATGTGTGCCTTTTTCTTGTGGGGATTATGTTAAAGACAAAATTTATGTTCCACCTCTTCCAGCAAATATAGTTGTTGTTATTATCGATCCAGTCCAGCAAATATAGAGGCCATGAAAGATTGAATAACAGCTACAATCAAAACAGTGGACCAGGACACCATGAGGCGTGTTTGGGAAGAATTTTTATATCGCCTTGATGTTATCTGTGCTGCTGGTGGTGGCCACATTGAGCACTAAGTAAAACATGAAATAAGATTTGAAGGTATGCACAACACATGTGTTCAAGCTAGTGTTTTCTATTGTTTTTCGCTTTTGAAAAATTGCGCAATAATTTTGCCGTATTCTTTTTGAATCATCCTGTATATTTCTGTTGTATTGTAAAGCGCTCAGAGTCTGTGTATTCTAATCGGATATACATATTTAATATATATATTTATATGTGTGTATTTATTTGTGTGTATGTGTGTCTGTTTGTATATATATATATATATATATATATATATATATATATATATATATATATAATATATATATATATATATAAATAAATAAATAAATAAATAAATAAATATATATATATATATATATATATATATATATATATATATATATATATACGTGTGTGTGTGTGTGTGTGTGTGTGTGTGTGTGTGTGTGTGTGTGTGTGTGTGTGTGTGAGTGTGTGTGTGTATGAATGTATATTCATGAAAAAGAGAGGAGTCTATCCTAGTTTGAGAGAGAGAGAGAGAGAGAGAGAGAGAGAGAGAGAGAGAGAGAGAGAGAGAGAGAGAGAGAGAGAGAGAGAGAGGGAGAGAGAGAGAGAGAGATTACAAACATTATCTGAACCCCGGGGGGAGTTTTTCACGGTAAGCAACGTTAATCTTTCGATAATGGCGCTCGGCTAGCTGGTCGCTGACGTCCCCGCCTGTGGCTATCCTTTTAGCACAAATCACACGGTCCATCGTTCGTTATGCTGATGATCATGTCTTAATGAAGATGTAATTGAAATGTTCAAACCTATTCTATTAATTGCTTTTGCAGAGAGAACATAGAAACAGATAATGACAGATTGTATTTAAAAAAGAACTATTGTTCTACGTTTTGTTTTGTTTGAATTTGATTGATTGAATGTCCTACAAGCAATGTTTAAAAAAACAAACAAACCATGTTTTTACAGCTTCCTCCAAAGTTTCACCTTCTAATTTTGGGTTTTATATCATGTGAAATTTTGGAATGCAATTCTTTGAATATCTTGATAATGACTCTAAATAATATTACGATTTCGATAGAGCAGATAGAACATTTGTTTTCTGACCTCACGGTCATGGTAACTGAAAACGGCCACCCCCCCCCCCCCCAAATAAAAGTAAGATAGAACTTTGTAGTTTTAAAGTAGCGAAATGAGAAACGATCAATTTGCATATTATTTTTAATACACTTGTCGTTACCTGTCTTTTAAAGTTTCAGAAGAAGAAAACGAATAGAAAAAGTTGCATTGATATATACGATATTTTTTTTCAAGAGCTGTAAAAAAACAACAAACAACCCAACTAGAATGAGCGTCCTAATGTGTTACATTTATTAAAAACATTTTATTTTTAGCTCAACCCCTTGGGTCTGGCTATGAGCGGACCAAAAGCAAGACTAAGTATGAAAGTTATTTTACACTCCTCTATCCTGCGCTTTCCATGCATATGGAAAGGTGGCAATCGGATGTGGACACAATATGAAAATCGCACTAAATTTCGTTCCATTATTTTCAATGTGATTTACAACGTTTAAATTCTGTACAGAAATTGAGACCAGTATGTGGGTGTGGCAAGTTTGACAAACACACACGTTTTCATCGGCTTGTCACAAATTGTTGTTTGCTTTTTTAGTCAATTTACGTTATGAATTTTTACAAACCTATTTTTAATTTCACAAGAAAATAATCCGTTTTCATCCTTCCAAGAGTAGCCCCGAGGTCCGAAATAATAAGGTAATTAAGGATTATGTGGGCCCCCTGAGAATCTCAATTGTTCCCCCAGACAGGCGTTATTTGAGAGTTGGACAAACCAGATGAAAGTTAATGACGTCTGCCCTGAAAATCTGATGCAAATTCAACTATTATACAGTTGGTTTGAAATATCCCCCCCCCCCCCCATTACGTTTTTACTTTTTAGAAAACAAATGGCCCAAGGATGGGAATGTTGTTGTTTTGTTATTGATATTTTATGAAGGAAATGAAATAACGAAGCCAGTCCCCCCAAAAAAGTAATTTAATACTGGTGGATCTGGACTGTTTTGTTGTAGCTTCGATTATCACAGCAGTGGTCACTGGGTGCATTAAGATAAAACGTCGATAAAAGAGCTCCATCTATTACATTATACTGAAAGATAAAGGACTCAGAATTACGATATTATATATAATATATCCACAATGAACAGCTTTGGTCATGTGGGCCGTACTGTGTGGTCTATCTCGGCGGTTGTGATATCGTATTAGCCTAACTTACCAGTTTTATATAAAATGACTCAATGAAGATCTTTGCTGTTCTCCTAAGTCAATTAGCCGTGAGAGTAAATTCACGTCACTTTGGTTTAAAGGGACTCTTACTACCGGTGTCAGACAAGGTACGGAGTAATATCAACCCCCTCGTTATTACTATTGCTCATAAAGCATACCACACAAACTTGTGGGGGTTAGGGGATACAAATTATCAGTTAACTATAACCAGCATAGTTGCAACTCTTTCCGCTCCTTGGGGAGACTCTCGTATGCCCAAACCTCTGTGGCGTTGGGCAGCCCTTCAACACACCCCCCAACACCAATTTGTCGCAATCGTTTTTGGTTTCTGTCCACTTTTCTTACCTGCCTGTCTGTCGACCGAAGGTCCAGTCAAGAGGTCAAACATCCTGCCGTTATAAACAAACAAAATAAAGGAACAAAAGTAACGAGCAAAACAAAAATGCAATAAATATAACACATAAAAAAGACACAAGGGGGGGGGGGGGGCTCTCCCAACCACACACACTTATGCATTGGGACTCTGTGAGACCCACCTTCAAAATTACCTATCTGTGTGCCTGCAGTATGCTGTGAAACTCTCACAAAACCAAAAAGCCAAGCATACTCGTTCTGTTTCTCCCCAGAAAAGCCGCGGGTGGGTGACCCTGAGCACGGAGTGGTGTACAACCCCAGCTTACAGGACATCCTCAAACACTCAGAGACGAATGAGGTAGGCCTATCAATGCTTTTTGACTGTTCACAATCTTAGAACTAAAGGAGTTCATCTTCATAATAAGGAACACCTTGTTATTTAGACCGTCTGCAACTGAACAGTAGGTCCAACTCTCAAAACTGAGGAATAAGTTTAGTGAACAGCTATGATAAAACGACAAAAATACAATGCACGACAACGTGTATTTGCCTTTGTGTAAATGTGTCAAAGAAGAGAGGTCTTTCATTACCTTCTGACTATTAGCAACCTCAGAACTAGTTTTTTCCAGTATGGGCCTCTATTACTGAAATTTAGACAGAATGCTGTAATATAAATGCTTTTCTTTCTCTTTTTAAAATTTTTAGCTCAACCCCTTGTTTCTGACTATGAGCGGATCATTTCCTGACCATAAACATTGTCCTATGCGTTCAAGAATCTGAATCTTTAATCGAATCACCATTCAAAAAGTGCCTATAGCTTCTACTGTCAAATTTTTGCTTAGATAAAAGGAGATGACAATGTGGGCAGGGAAGACTCATTTAGAGCATAATAAAAACAAACTTTGTATTTTTGGGTCCTCATCTCCGCAGACTTCCTCCATGTTGCGTCAGCCCGCCCACTCTGATGACGTGGCCACGCCCATTACCCACATTGTGGCACCTGTGATTGGCTCCGTTCTCGTGTGTGTCATCCTCGTCGTTGTCGCTGTCCTTTGCCGTCGGCGACAAGTGAGGAAAAAACTCTGCTCCAAGCGGAACGGCGATAACATTGTCAGGTAGTCACTGAAAGCTTTTCTCTAGTTTCATTTCGTCTGAAAATATAATTAATTTTATATTTGAAGACATGAAATCTTCACCATATTATTGTTCAACACACACACACACACACACACACACACACACACACACACACACACACGCACACACACACACACACACGCACACACACCCACGCACACACGCACACACACCCACGCACACACGCAAACACACACAAACGCAAACTCATATGCATACATACACAGATACACAAACACACACACTTGATTATCCACAAATACACACACAATACGAGCACTTATAGAGCAAGAGTCTGAGTGAGAGGGGAGAAAGAGAGAGACACAGATACAGAGACAGGGAGAGAGAGAGAGCGTGGGAGAGAGAGAAAGAGAGAGAGAAAGAGAGAGAGAAAAAAAAAGAGAGAGAGAGAGAGGGGGGGGGGGGGAGAGCGGGTGTTAGATAGAGAGAACACTCAGACATATACAAACATTCCTCAAGCCCATCTCCTATAGTTTTTCGATTTACATCGGGGGACGCAGGGCGTAAGATGTTTTCCCCCCCGAACCCTTTCCAAGATGTGCCGGATGTCCACTCGTACATTTAGTGTTTTTACTGGTTCAGAACTGAGTTTCGCTGACCCCTTTACAGTAACCGCAAGGCCCTAGTTTCAGTGCTCCTTTTAGAGTTACTTCAGGGATCCAGTTTCACCTGCGTAACCATTGCTGCTTAGTGCATCATACCAAAAGAAGAAAAAAGTAAATATTTTCACTCACCACTTAAAAATGAGTTAAAAGTGTCTTCAGGTGGGATATCACGGCGACCCAAATATTGCCCTACATGAAAGTGGAGAACCTTATGGGTATACAAGGTCAGACAAGTTCCAAGTGGAGAACCTTATGGGCATACAAGGTCAGATAAGTTCCAAGTGGAGAACCTTATGGGCATACAAGGTCAGACAAGTTCCAAGTGGAGGACCTTATGGGCATACAAGGTCAGATAAGTTCCAAGTGGAGGACCGAAACTTATTTTTAAAACAAACTGATTTGGGTTTAATAACTCTTACTTCTGAGTTGAGGTAGTTTTGCTGTCGGGTCTGTTTCCGAAAAGGACGTGGCTCAGTGGATGACTCCTCCAACTAGCCAATCACAAGAATGGTTTGCCGAGGATTCGAATAGAGTCGGTCGTACCGTTATCCGCAGTAATACCGACTCCGGCACGGGCGTTTTCTTGACTAACCGTGTTCTTCACTTTGCTTCCTCCAAAGTTTCAACTTCTAATTTTGAGTTTCATATCATGTGAATCTTTCGAATGCAATTCTTTGAATATCTTGATCACGACTCTAAATAATCTTACGATTTTGATAGAGCGATCCATTTTTGCGTCAGTCTCAGATGACATCAGTCTCAGATGAATGGAATGCCAGAAAGTGACCAGTGAAAAAATCAAAACAAAAACAAATTGGAGTTGGACATGGCTCGATATGGACTGAAGGTTTTACGCAAGTGAATAATTTTACGATACTTTTCATTTTATTATGTAGGTTTCAACACATTTACTTAATAAAACCCAACAGAAAACCGTTAGGCGCATCAGGTATGACCCCTAACTCGAATTGTTGCTATCACATAATGAGTGGAATCAAGCAAATTGGACAACTTAAAACAAACTGGGGTGTTCATAAGATTAAAACCAAGTGACAAAATACCACTGTAAAGATGCCTTCACTAGGGAGCGGGACAGAGGGTGCCCACCTCGTCACTCGAAAGAGCTGAGGAATGTAGGACTAAGATGATCTAAACAATTAACTACTAACCAGTTGTGGTAGCCCTCTCCAGTTGGGGGTAAGGCAACACTTAGATGTGAAACTTACCAAAAAATGTCATAAGAGTGAAGAAACATATGTATTCACTTATGTATTAATGTATTTATCTATATGTAAAACATTTTCCCATGTGTTTACTCTATGACTACATCTAACAGCTAATTTAGAAACCCAAAATGTAGCACACTTTGTTGTTATTACTAAACACAAAAGCGCCAGATGATAGAATTGGGCAGGGTAAAAAAAAAAAGCGACAAAATACCAAAGTGTAATAAACTACTCTGTTGAAGTCCGAGTTCGAAGGTTTTCCGAAGGAATACGATAAGGACATGCTTTGGTTGTGGCGAAAAGTAACAGGTTAAGTTACCCGGTAAGCAGTTTGCCTCGACATACCGTGGGCAATTAATTATTTTGCTTGCCCTGACGTAAATATTTTCTTTAAAAAAAAAAAAGTTTCGAGTTCCCTTAAAGGTGAAACATACACCCTACTCATGATTCTGTAAAAGCAGCTGCCATCAATTAAATCATTCTTTTTCTCATAAGCTTAGAAGTAGACAATCTCCACAATCCTTTGTCTAGTCCGCCTATGGAAGTATTACACACCTCTTACGTTGTGACAAAAATGGTCTTTTTTATAACAATTATTTGAGTTTTTCTGTCTTTTATCGAATATCATTGTCGTTCTGTTCTTTATCTGTTTGCGGCCCCTTATCGGATAAAGGTGCCCCGTCAGGCCTTTATTCCTTCCTTACACGAAAAAAAAATGCTCATGACGATTCAAATAGGATTGTTGAAAAAAGAATGAAGGTTTAAATAAGAAGGTGAACCAGTCTAAAGCAACACTCCTGATGAAGGAAATTGTGTCGGCAGAAACCAGTAAAGGTTATTAAGTGTCAGCAGAGGATGGCATGATCCGGCTATCACAAAAACAAAAAAATAACCCCAGACACCGAGGAGTGAGAGCACGGCTTAGTCAGCTGCTCGTGAGGACAGGACATTGAACGTGAGAGCAGTAAAGGGGCATCAATAACACACACACACACACACACACACACACACACACAGAGGGAGAGAGAGAGAGAGAGAGAGAGAGAGAGAGAGAGTGAGAGAAAAAGAGAGGGGGAGAGAGGAAAAGAGAAAGGA